ATGGGCCTATGAAGAAACAGGAGCACTCTGGTATCATTATACTGGGTCACAATTTGCAAATATCTGTCAATTTTGTTTTGGTTTTTTTTTTTTTTTTTGGTTTTTTTTTTTTTTTTTTTTTTTCAGACAGTCTCACTGTGTAGCCCTGCCTTCCTGAAACTCACTATGTAGGTCAGGCTGCCTTCAAACTCACAGTGATCTGCCTGTCTCTGCCTCCTGAGTGCTAGAACTGCAGGCCACCACACTGAGCAACCATTTTTAAATGATCATTCTTTAAACTGGAAATTCCACTTCTATATATCTTCCTTCACACAAAGATCAGTGGAAACAGATGGTCATTGCAGCATTGTTAACAAAAGAGTAGAATGTTGTAAAGGTCCATGAACAGGAAAGCAATTGAATAAACAGTGTAATGTTCATAAAAAGGAATCGCTGTTACAAAGAGTAAGATTTATAGGTGCTGACATAAACGATCTCCCTGGCATATTAAACACACACACACACACACACACACATACACACACACACACAAAGTATAGAATCATGGACACTGTGTGTCCACTTAAGCCTCCATGCCCCACGCCGCCCCCCCACTTATGTGTGTGTGTGTGTGTGTGTGTGTGTGTGTGTGTGTGTGTGTGTGTACATAACAGTGTGAAGGCCAAAGAACAACCTTGGATGTCATCACTCAGGTGCCTGCACACCTTTTGTGAGGCGGGAGTCTCTTACTGGCCTAAAATTCAATGTGTAAGATAGGCTGGGTGGATGGCAAGTCCCACCCAGCTCAGCCTGCCCAGTGCTGGGTTCATAAACGTACACTCCCACACCCAACTTTTTTACAGGAGTCCTGAGGATTGGAATCAGGTCCTTGTGCCTGCAAGACAGTGATTTACTGACCTAGCTACCTCCCCAGGTCCCTAACTATGCTCTTCTAGGATTAAAAAAGTGTACACTTAGATATATGATAATTTTACAGTTTAAAGGGTTAAAGGTGGACTGGGCTGAAAATTAGGCACAATTTGATTCATACAGCGGACATTGGTGGTACCTCTCTCTCTCCCAACAGAACCTCAGCTTTGTTCAGGAGGACATTACTCCCTTCAGTACCCCATGTGACTCCAGGGACAGGCAGTGACCCAGTTCTTCTAGGAAGCCAATGTATCTCAATATGCCAATCATCAGAAGTAGCTATGGAGCCCCTGTTATGATCTCTATATAAAATGTCCCCCACAGATTTATGTGTTTGAACACGTGGTCCCCAGCTGGTAGTCCTGTTTTGGGAGACTGTGGAACCTTTAGGAGGTGGGACTTAACTGGAATAAATAGGTCTCTGGAGAACAGACCTTAGGGGTTATAGACCACCCTAGCCTTCTAAGGCCAACAGCAAGGTAACCAGACACCTCATGCTACTGCTACACCAGCTGAGAACTACCCATGGCTATGTATTTCCTGCCCATGATGGACTGTATCCCCTGATCCATGAACTGGAATCAATCTTTCCTTCCCCACATTGTTTCTGTCAGGTATTCTATCACAGTGACACACAAAGTAATTCATAGAGCGTTTCTGATGAGTATGTTTGAGACATGGCTCTGAGTTCATCTCAAAGGACTGGTATTGATAGCCTAGGACCACTGACAAAATCTGAGTATAGAAACACTCGCCTATTTGCTGAAATGATTTCATAGGTAAGATGCTTGCACCCTTTGAGACATGTGAGATATATGATGGGAACTTGGCAGAAATTTTTAACAGTCACAAGTCAAATAAGACATCTCTCTCTCCCTCCTTTACCTCTGAGCATGAGCAAGGGAGAACGAAGTATGTCCATCACTGGCAGGCAGCCTCTAACCACAAACAGCATTGGCTTTCAGATGTCGCTAATCTGAAACATGGAAGCATCCAAGACTTTGGCCCATTGGCCAGTTGACATCTTTTTATGTGAACATTTGCTGAGGGCCTAAGTGCCTCTGTGTTCTAAGTTCTGCTATTGGCAGACAAGTGCAAACTAACCTGTAAAAACATAATAAGAACTATTTTTAAATAGTTAAAGCTCAAAAACATTTTCAACCAGGCAGTGGTGACTCACACCTTTAATCCCAGCACTCAGGAGGCAGAGGCAGGTGGATCTCTGAATTCAAGGCCAGCCTGGTCTACAGAGTGAGTTCCAAGACAGCCAGGGCTATACAGAAGAAACCCTGTTTCAGAAAACCAAAGGGAAAGAGAGAAAGAAAGAAAGAAAGAAAGAAAGAAAGAAAGAAAGAAAGAAAGAAAGAAAGAAAGAAAGAAAGAAAGAAAGAAAGAAAGAGGGGGAGG